CTGGTCGGGGTCGGTATAGTCAATAAATTTGGAAATCTAAAAGGAAGTTAATAATCAGAGGTAATCAAATGTAAGGGTGGTTTCTTTGCTAACTTACTCGTACTATTCTTTGTTATTGACACGTCCGGATTTGGAACAAGAAACGGAGTTTTTTTTGTTTGCAACAACACTTAAGCGCCCTTACTTCGAATTCGATCCTAACTTCTACAACAATTCTGAGATAACGCGTCTAGCAACATTGGTAAGTTCAATCTTCTTTACATTTGATTTAACCCTACAGTAACGCTGTAGAGTAACGGTATTGTGTTTATTTTACTAATATACAAGTTCTAGCAATTTTTCCTTCTGTCACCAACCTTTGTAAGTTCACCCCTTTTGTTCTTTGGGCGTTACAACTACAGTAACGCCCAGCAGTAACGCCAAATTGCTACAATATGGCAAATTAACATGTTTTAGATATCGCTCTCGCTCACATCTGTACCATGGCTCGCACCAAGCAAAAGCCTGAGCGCCACGGTAAGTATTCCACCCTACCCTACAAGCAATACAAGGTTACTAACTCAACAAACAGTCGATATTCACAAGACTGCGCGCCGAGCCCGCCAAGAAAAGATCTGGAGCTACAATGCCCAGAAAAGGAACTGGGAGCGGGATCACCCTGGCTCCAACTTCCCACAACAAGCCCCTCGCCCTGTCCCTCCTTTGAGCAAGGCTTCTGTCAACAGTATGCTATTCTTTTCTAATAGAATATTGTTCACACTACTAACTTATATGAAAGAACGGATCGTCGCCGAGATCCGACACTACCAGAAGTCGGCCGCCCTCATCCTCCCCAAACTCCCATTCCAGCGTCTTGTTCGTGAAGTCGCGCAAAGCTTCATGTCAGACCTCCGCTTCCAGTCTACTGCCATCTGTGCCCTCCAAGAGGCCGCTGAGGCCCACCTTGTGTCATACTTCGAAGGTAAGCTGTCTCTATGAACACCTACAAAAACTATACTAATAGTGCGAAGGGGCCAACATGTGCGCCATCCACGCCAAGCATATCACCATCCAGAACAAGGATATGCAGCTTGTGTCCTGGTTCGCCAATTCTCGCAGCATTAGATAAATTAGTGTGTTCTTGTATAAATAGTCAATTGATGATTTCACAACCTGTCTTTAGTATTTCAGTCGTGACAGTAACGGTATACAGTAACGCTTAATTACATAATTTATGATGAAACTGAAGTTCATTATACTATAACTTAAATATAAAAATATAAAATAATAACGTTATGCAAATGTTAACTATATTAATTAATAACTATTAAATTAACGTAACCATATAATATTTATCAAACTATAGTAATAATTAATAGTAACGTTAGTAGCTGCTATTAATGCTTAATTAAACTCATATCAAATATAAGTCATAACTAATTGACTACTCTATGATCGATTTTGATTGAATAATATGATATCACTTGTAAATATAATATCACGTGTAAATATAATCACGTGTAATTATTTAACAGTGTGTAAATGGAACTATTATAGTTATACTATTTTCAACTTATACCTCAAAATGCATGTACAGTAACACTTAATAGTAACGTTATTAATATTCGATTGCACTTAAAGCTATTCCTAATAACATATCATGTGATGACATGTGGTGGCCCCCACTTATAATGTAAAAGACTGGACTGGACCGGACTGTTCTTAGGAAAGACCGAACGGTCTAGTCTTTTAAACAGTCCTCAATTTTCGCAAACAGTCCACACTCTAAAAAAAGACTGGACTATTATCAGTCCGGTCTTTTAAAGGGACCTCAACTTTAGCAAACAGTCTACACTCTAAAAAAAAGACTAGAATGTTATCAGTCCGGTCTTTTTGTCTCACGGTCCAGTCCTAAAAAAAAAGACTGGACCGTAAAACAGTCCTCACTCAACATTAAAAGACCGGACCGGACCGGACCGTGGCCAGTCTAGTCCTCCTTGTGAATCCCATATTTGTGAATCTTGTTTTGTACGAGTTGAAACCACGCATTATATGCGTTAGGATCTTCGCATTGAACTTGCTAATAGTCGATCTTTCGATTAAAATGAGTATAGAGTTGTGGTTGTCATCATACGAAGTTAGAAGTCTACTTCTTTCTAACGCGTCTGCCATTGCATTTAGTAAGCAATCGATTTGCCATATCTTTAACAGCACTACATCGAGGAGGAAATGCTTATGAATCTAACTTAAGAATATTTTGATAACAACTTCTTCTAATATTGTCAATTTTCTAGACTTAACTAAAGTTGTATATCATGTAGGTTTTCTAGTGTGTTGATCTCTTAATGTTGTACAAGGAAGATGGTAGATTCGCGCAACACAAGTTACACTTAATTTTGGGTTTGATTAAAGCACCTAACGTGCAAGAATCATTCTTCGTTCTTCGTACGAAGTTGTCATGTTTAAAAAAAAAGTTATTTGAGTTAAAAAGTCAAAAGTACAAAGCTAAGGAATAATCAGCAGTGAGCTTGTGTAGGTAACTCGCTTGTCAACTACATTAAGCTATTAACGTAGGTCGTGGCATATTAACCTATCATTAATATGGTGCGCAAAACCAGCTTAAAAGCTCAAGAACGTGAAAATCTATTAGCTCAAGCAGTTATTAGAGTTCAATCTAGTATATACAAATCCTCATATGCTACTGCAAAGGCCTTACATCTTAGGCCAGATACTGTCTTAGACCGTGTCATTAGGCGACGGCCCTTACAGAAAGAGGCATGGCAACAACAGCAACTTCTCAAAAAATCAAGAGCAGACCCTCTTAAAGTGGATTAAGGAGCTTACAGCAAATGGCTACACTCCTAGCCATCGCATATTACGTGAGGTTGTAGAGGACGTGCGCTCAAATAGGTGTCGGGTCTTCTAGGTGAGTTGGGTAGATGTGGTGGTTAATAAACCAAGTGAAGCCTACTTCCTAAGCTCTGCCCCCTAAGCTCCTAAGCTCCTGAGCTTCAGGACTCAGCTAATAGACTCGGCTAACTAGCGGCTTGGCAGACCCCATCAAACCAACCGGCTTAGCAGCAAACCCGAGTGACCTAGCTGTCCCGACTGTTATGATTACAGCTCACAGCTTGTCACAGCTTGTTACAGTTGTTATGGTTGTTACGGTTATTACGGTTATTACGGTTGTTATGGGGATTACGGGTGTAGCCTTAGCCACCAAGGAAGCAGACAACTGTATGTTATGAGGAATAGCCTCATCTTCCTTCCTTCTTCTTCTTCTTCTCTCTTTAGATTCAATCTAGATTACTTTTCCTGGACTGGCATCATGACCTCTATGACCATCGTAACACCGACCAACTTAGCAGACCTGACCAACTCAGCAGACCTGACCAACTTAACAACCACAATGTAATGGTGGGTGCACCTGATGTGAGAATCTAGCCACCCAAGGAAGGGATGATTTTACTAAGATGTAATGGTGGGTGCACCAGATATGAGAATCTAGCCACCCAAGGAAGGGATGAATTTACTAAGACAACACACTGTCTTAGGAAACAGAGCCAAAGGGTTGTAGCTTAGACTATTCCACAACGCAGCAATCAGGTGTATGATGTGGTGAAGTGGTTTAGACAAGTTGCAACAAATGTTGAGTCTGAGAACTCAGGGGTAAGTCAGAGGTTAGCACCTCACTGACTTTTCAAAAACAGAGAATAACAAGATGAATGCTTGGAAGCTTGTAAAAGACGTGGAAGTATGTGATAGTCGATTTACTGTATTGCCTGCTTGCCCTTTCTTAAGGAAAGGGCAATCCTATTTATGCCAAAGGAGTGTAGTTCTCTCATTTTCCATGACTTTCCATGACTAACCAGGCTTGGTAAATGTATTAGAAATCAAGTGCAACCCACAACTAGCTTGCTAATCATGTAGTGAATGTAAGAGAATTCCATAGAACCATCTCTTGGGTTCCTAGCCTATAGGAAGTGAAAAGGAGGTCCAAGGTCAGAGTACCTATAGACAAATTATGTCATAACTTAACCAATCTTGTGGGTAACTAAGGAGCGATGACGTGTAATGAATCATAGAGGGTTGTAGAAGCTTCTAGAGCTATCGTTCATGTTCCTAGGCCTCTAGTTGGTAGAGATATGCCATGTGGTAGTATTGGCCCACCCCCTTAAGGAGGAGATTTTCTTAATAACTTGTTCAATGAGTGTCCAAATGATATGCCGTGATGTATGTAGCATAAACAGATGTAGTAGAAGAGTTTGCAGCAATCGTTGAGTAGTATTGCTTCTGTTGTTGGTGTGATAAGCCAAGATATGTATGGTGACTTGTAGGTTTGAGGAGGAGATTTCCAAGTTTGCTCTTGAGTTTGATAGCAAACTGAGTGCAACGAATGTCAGTATGACAAGGAGGGGGGTAGTGTAAGGATGCCTTCTCGTCTCTCATTCTAGGGAGTAGACTCCGGGTAGCCGCGGGGTCACGTGTGATCATTTGGGTGGCCTAACTGAGTCGGAACCGAGTCGGATGGGTTTTGGATACTTGAGAAAATCGACTGACGGGGTTCCCCATCATCTTTTTTGTATCCTTCATAGTAGACCTATAGGATAGCATCCGTTTAGCCTCCGACTCGCACTCTCATATGCTATTACTGTGAGCTGGGTGCCCTGTGTCCTTACACACTTCAAAGTTCCTTGAGGTTGCCGGAGTAGGTGTTAGGCAACTTGACACGTATGGTTTCCTAAAGTTCTGTAATGACTAGTTTAGCATTAGGCATGTCTTCATCCTTAGGTGGGAAAACCAAAGAAGGCATTAGCGTAGCTAGAGTTGGTGTAGCTAGGGTTGGTGTAACTGTGGCAGCCTTGACTTTTTCCTTAGATCCTACAGCTGACATGTATGGTTTCCTAAAGTTCTGTAATGACTAGTTTAGCATTAGGCATGTCTTGGCGAGATCAGATTGGTTGCCATGGTAGCCAACATAACGTTGGGCCGGAGCTGGGACGAAACCCATGATTGCCAGACTCAAGAACTCCTACTACAAAACTTTGCCCGCAAGAAATCCACACCTCAAAATACAATTAAAGTTATTCTGCTCTGATTGTTTTGCGTTACTATCGCGAAGTACCAAGTCACCAAACACCATATCTACCCGCCATTTGTGTAAACAAAGGCGAACGTACTAATCAGGGACCAGCGTTGTACCCGCACAGCTACAAGTCAAGCCGACCGAAACCCTATGAACGTAAATCAAATACAATTTGACAAAAACATCGAAATAAACACACATCAACTTCATAGGCGGCGCCGCCATGCGTCTGCGAACGCTAATACCCGCACTCTCGGCACTCCTCCTCGCCCCTCTTTCAACGAGCGCCTCTCACTTCCGCGCCTCCTCCTTCTCTGCCGCATACCTCTCCACCACCACCTCTGACTCCCTCATAAAGCGCCAAAGCTGCCCCGCAGAATACATACCCTGTGCCAGCCTCTCCGCTCCCAACTCCGCCTCGAACTGCTGCGCCGCCTCATCCGTGTGCGCCCTCGACAACGCCGGCAACATCGCCTGCTGCCCCCTCGGCTCCTACTGCACCGGCATAATCCCCATCGCGCCCTCTCCGATCACATTGCATACAGGCCCTATAACCTCCGCCCCGACACAAACGCAAACTGCGGCCCCAGCAACGGGCTACGTCCCAAACACATTATATCCCTTTCCGATCATCTTCGCCTCGGGAACAAACTTTGGTGATAAGGCGCAGTGTGAGGCAGCATATGAGTCATGCGCAGGGTACTATCAGCAGTGCACGCAGCGGCTTGGGGGTGGGGGAGGAGGATTTGGTGTCACAGTTGCGGGACCAGGGGGTGGGATAACGGTTGCGGGAGGGACGGGCGTGAGTGTGGGGATTGAGAGTGCGACAAAAATCTGTTCATCTCTGAGTAGGGAGGCATGTCCGGGAACAGCGGCAACGTGTACGGCTGCTGGGGCCGGCACGGCGAATGGGCTGGGGGTGGCTACGACAACGCCCAGCCAGACGGGGTTTGCTGTTGGTGATCCAGGGGCTGGTGTGGCTGCTGGAATAGCAGTTGGGAGGTGGGGGATGGGGGTGGTGGTTATTGTGGGGTTGATTGCTAGTTGGGGGATCTGATTGAGAGGAATTTTTGGATGTTGACGGCGATGGTAATACGCAGAAACGAAACGAATGACGACGTGGACATGTATCATGATCGAGGTTTTGCAGCTACGGCGTTCTGAGCTTTGTTAGCGGGTTGGACTTACAGCGTTGATTGTCCAGAACAGAAGACCAAATAGGCTGGGTCTGCAGCATCCGAATTATGTATATTTTGGAAGGAGCTACATGAGCGAGATGGGCATTTACTAGATCGATATTATAACCTCTACGGAATATCATTAAACGATCTTGGCATAATTCCCATAAGTATGACTTGTAAACTATACCTTGACGTTCAATCACCTCGATAAACAGAGTCCGTGTGAGCGTGAACGTTGAATTGCGTATATAAAAAGACCTTTTGTTTAATGTAATGACAGGACAGGATGTCTCTAGGCAATCTTGCTTCTGCACCTCTCTTGTTACAGCCCCCGATCTCTTTGTCTTGCTCCTAGAAGAACCTTTCACTACAGCCACAATAGCCTCAATAGCATTTCTCAACCATACAGCAGCATTTAACAGCACACCCACCATATTCACAAGCCGACTCTGTACACCCATCGTTAACCTTTATCCTCGTATTATAAAATCCAGAGATAACTTACTGGCACCAGCAGCGCAAGTAGATCCGCCAAAAAATGGGCAACTCGCGCTCTGCAGAGAGATACAGTGCGAACACACATTCGAACCGTTGCCGAGCCAGCAGTCACGTTTGACCAGCCCATCGGCGTCACGGGCAGCCATTTCGATAGGTGTAGGAATTGCGATGACTGTCAAGGTAAGGAATGCGAGCACAAGAGTTGTGAATGAGAAGTGCATCTTGTTGGTAGATAGATTTGGAAGATTTGTTTGTTGAGAGTTGGCCTGCTTGTTTGTGTGCTCAGATGGGGTTCGCTGTAGTTCTTGATTTTGATGCCAGTCATCAATTAACAATCTTCTGAACTACATAGTGTTGAGAGGAAAGGGGGCTGCGCTCTTGGATTCGGTGATTGTTGCCCCGGAGGAACATAATCCCCAAATTATACCGGGTTTTCAGTGGTCCAGAAGCCCGGCCAGATCCTTGTTAGACACAAGGCAACCATGGTCTTATCACAGGTCTTATCCTCTGCATCTCACGCGGAATATCAATGACGCCTAACGGCTCCCCGATTGGCTTTTGGGTTCAGCTGAGTATTTAGCCACCAGTTCAGTCACTGCCTGAACTCTGGCCCTTAGATCGTTAGGGTATTAAGGGTGACTCCGAGGCCTACAGATACAATGCGTTGCCCCGTTAGATAGTGTGGTAATTCAATTGATCTATTTATTCTATATACTGTCTTTACTGTGAGGCTTCCTGTTCCGTTCTGGTAGAAGTGATAAGTTCCAGCCGCCTAAGACACCGACAATTCGCGCCTACAGGTTGTCTATGGGCCAGTTGAATTACTATCCAAGCTTTAAAGGCGGGGATGATGTGTCCAAGGTAGTAACTCACGAAGTATGTAAACAAGGATGAGTTAGATATGTATATCTTGACGTCCAAAGTCTGTGTTCTATGGAGTTGTGATTTAATCGCACCCTGTTTGCCCTCTTTTTACTAGTGGCTCTCGTACCAGTCCAGCTCCGGTACGAACAACACCTGTCAGAGTACAATATACACTATATATTAAGGGCCGGACCTATCCGCAGGGTAGCACCATACATCCCTACTATATTTAGGAACCTTAAATTCACAGTGACGGAACTCTAATGTTCTGGATTGAGTTTAGCCGGATTTCGAATTCAGGAGTATTGGCACCGGATTCTGGAACAATGGAGTATTGGAGCTGGACCACCTCCGAATTCTAACATGCAGGGTTGGTCTAGCACCCAAAGGGTCCATGGCTTGACGGAGACGACGGTACTTGGTAATTAAATACGGCAAATCCAGGTAGTGGTGGCATGGATTTTCCCATATTTCTTGTTTAAAGATATTTACCTTAAATAGGCACAAACTGATGTGCCTATCTTCTCCTCCTCTGCTTGTGCAGACGGATTGCGGTTGGTGGGTGCAGGATGCGCCGTATTCTGATGCGTAGAGGTGGGAATACTTGGAATTCAGCCATACTTTTGATTAATTGTTAATAAATGAGATGGTTCTACTTTACTTGTTCTATTATCCAAAAACACAAAACGCGGCATGATGTTCTAAACCGGGTAAAAATGCTATAACTATGTGATATCTCATTGCCAAAAAGGGAGGGTGCAATTTTTTCATTTCCGTCTCCGCACGCCCAAAATTTATAAGAAGAAGAGGATGCTGCATGTCTTAACGGCTCACAAGTCCTTCTCCTTCTAATCTTTATCTGGTTCTCAGTCGAAACAGTAACTATGAAAGCCAACTTGCTATTCTGTTACTCCCTCTTGGGAGTAGCCCTTGCGGTAACATGCCCTGACGATACTGGAGTCAACGGTTATGCTACCGTCAAAGGCGGCACAACTGGAGGTGGGACTGCCACAGCTATAACCGTCACCAACTTGGCCGACTTCAAGTCCAATGCCGCAGCCTATGGCAGTCGCGTCATCATCGTCAAGGGCACAATAGATACTGGCTCCGCCATTAACGTTGCAAGTGACGAGACCATTAGAGGCTATGATAAAAGCGCCACCATTATCGGAGGATTCTCCATGAACGAGGTCTCAAACATTATATTTCTCTCTCTGTCTGGCCATCTGTTTGAGGGTGATAAGCTGTAGAAAAGCGTTGTTCCATGTTTAAGAGTTTAGAGAACTCCTTAAAAAAGTTTGAAGTGAAAACTGCTCCCCTATCTGAGATCCAGTGTCCAGGAATTCCATGATATTTAAAGACCACCTTGAGGAATAGCCACGCAAGTTCAGAAGCTGTGATAGTCTCATTGCAAGGCTCAAAGTGTGCCATTTTTGTGAGCCTTTCTACTACCACAAGGATAGAGTCATAAGGGGTAGCACCCCCTTTTGGGATAGAAGGAGTCAACTTGACTATAAAGTCAATGGATATGGAGTCCCATGGGCATTCTGGTATAGGTAGAGGCTGCAAGAGGCCGTAAGGCTTTTGCCGTGTAGGTTTGTTTAAGTTGCAAGTAGTGCAAGAAGATATATAGTCTTGAAGAGTAGTCCTTAGACTAGGCCAGTAGAACTTTCTTGTTAGAAGTTCATAAGTTTTTGCAAAGCCAAAGTGCCCTGCAGCTGGAGCATCATGGAACTGCCGTAGGAGGTGTAGCTGTAATCATTTTTCCCTTGGGACATAGATATAGCTCTTGAATAAGAGAAGTCCTTGCTGATTTTTTGAGAAATTTTGTAGTCCAACTTTCTCAAGAGAGGAACCTTTCTTCTGGAGGTATTCCAAAGTATTTTTAGCAAAGGGATCATGGTTGTAAGCATCTTTAAATGCTTTAAGAAGTGTTGCTGAGGGTGTATAGTCTTTAAAGGTCTCTGGTTCCTGAGAAGAGGTAATGGGGGCAACTTGGTCTTGAGGGGATAAGTTTACCCCTAAGTCCTCTGTAGTACGAGGGTTGCTTAAAGATGCTGCTATAAGCTTTGTAGAGTCTAGCAGAGCCTTTGTATTGCTAGTTTTAGCAGAATCTTGGTAGTCATGTCTTTTTGAGAGGAGATCTGCTCTTTGATTCTTAGCCCCTGAGACATGTTTTATAACAAAGTCAAAACCTCCTAGTTGTTCAGACCACCTTGCTTGTCGTCTATTGAGCTGTTTAGTGGTTGTAAAGGTCAAGAGATTTGAATGGTCACTGTAAATAGTGATAGGATAGTTTGCCCCTTCAAGGTAGCATCTCCAATGCTTTAGAGAACTGTCATACTGACATTCGTTGCACTCAGTTTGCTATCAAACTCAAGAGCAAACTTAGAAATCTCCTCCTCAAACCTACAAGTCACTATACATATTTTGGCTTATCACACCAACAACAAAAGCAATACTACTCAACAATTGCTACAACCCTCTATGATTCATTACACGTCATTGCTCCTTAGTTACTGGGCCGATATGACCACATAGCATATCTCTACAACCCTCTATGATTCATTACATGACATCACTCCTTAGTTACTGGGCTAATACTACACATGACATATCTCTATCAACTAGAGGCCTAGGAACATGAACAATGGCTCCAAAAGCTTCTACAACCCTCTATGATTCATTACACATCATCGCTCCTTAGTTACCCACAAGATTGGTTAAGTTATGACATAATTTGTCTATAGGGGTACTCTGACCTTGGACCTCCTTTCTGTATCTTGAACGACTATCATCGCAGTTAGTGGTTAATTCCGATAAAGCGTTTTCATTACTTCAAGATCTTCGAAGAACTTTACACACGATGATTTGGCCACCTTTAAATGTTCCAAGTCGTCAGTTTGTTTGATGGGTCGGGCGTTGTCACATGAGCGGTTAAGGCGGCAATATCTGTACTATGTATGATGTATCTAAATTTGCCAGTCCATTGAAAATTGCCGCTGTCGCGCGCATAATTGTGGAGGGCGTCAAATCTCAATGGGCTCACTGATCGGGCAAAATTCATTCGCCCTAGCTCAAAGCGCTTGTCTTTCGCTTCGAACCTCACTGTGAATTTCTGCCTTGTCCAGACTCGAGTCCATCATCCTCGGCCCTGATAGTAGAGCCCTTGTGTGACAGTGTTTTGATCTCCTCCCAATAGAGAGATTTAGCAAGAATGACTTGACCTATGCATGTCCAAGGGCCCCTGTAAAAACTAGTGCCTAATTTGTATTAGCCTGCCCATAGTCTGCCGTATGTCGGAATAGGAAATAGAAAATCGTAATGATTCTCATGATAACTGTGCCTCTCTCGCCTGTGACACCCCTTATGGCATATATGAAGCAAAATAGGCTTATAGCAGTAGCAGTAGCTACTGCTATGATTGGTCTAAGAAATCGTAGGCTTCAACAAAGGCGCCGAAGGCTCAGGCAACAGGCTTTTCGAGCCCCTTATGAGTATCACCGTTTTCAATGGAGCCTCTTTATATGGGGACAGGACCGCCCAAGGGCTGTACTTCATACATTTAGGTAAGTCTATCCGTTTGAATGAATCTATTACTGACATATACAGGTTCTCTATAGAGGAGATCTGTCGCCTTGCAACACTCCTTCGCATCCATGCTATACCATGGAGGCGGCGACTTAATACTGACCCAGAGACTGCTCTCTGTGTTGTCCTTGCCCGCCTTGCATACCCTGGCAGGTGGTCAAGGTGCTCAGAGCTCTTTGGGCGGTCTCCAGCATGGCTATCAACCATCTTTAATGATGTCGTTGGGCATTTGGTGCAGGAGTTTAAAGGACTCTTGCAATGGCATCCTCAGCTCACGTATGACCGGATGCAGGTTTATGCTGAAGCTGTTGAAGCTATCAGCCACTGCCCCCGGATCTGGGGCTTCGTTGATGGAACCTTTAGGGGATTCTGCCACCCTAGTGAATCCAACGAAGCCCAAAGGCGGGCTTATTCTGGCCACAAGCGTCAGCATGGCCAGAACTTCCAGGCTATTGTAACGCCTGATGGACTAGTGTCTTCGTTAATTGGACCCTTCTTCGGCCCTACTAACGACTGGACAATGTGGAAGCAGTCTGGCTGCCAGACTGCCCTCCGAACTATCATGGCAGGGCGGGAGGTACAATACCTCTATGGCGACCCTGCCTATAATTGTGTGTATGGAATCATGTCTCCATACACACATCCCCGCGGTCGGCATTACTTGCCAGCAGCTCAGCAGAGCTTCAACAAGGGCCTATCAAAGGCCCGGATTGCAGTTGAGAATGCCTTCGGACAGACTCAACAGCTCTGGACTTATACAGCCTTTAGTAAGGGACTAAAGGCTGGCTTACAACCAGTGGCAGCGCACTTCGCTGTTGCTGTATTACTTTCGAATTGTCATACATGCATGCATGGCAATTCGATATCAGGTAGATTCTTAGTGCCTCCACCATCAGTAGAGGCATATTTAAACTATGATAACTAACTACTATCATTACAGGTAAGAACCCCCCCTTTTTGAGCGATGTTCTGAAGCATCGTGAGCATTGCTGATTGCCCTTTCTCAATGCCTGCTAGCTTCGCTAACTGCTCTTCCTTTAGGTCCTGAATTGAGTGCTCGAATTGTGTAAGCCGAGCCTCAATGTCCTCTGTAGTGGCCCCAGTCGTTGGCCACCCGAAACTGCCTTCCTTGGCCTGGTCCGCTAGTGCTTCCGCCATCTTAGCCAACGAGGCTTCAATTGAAGGCTCATTCGAGCCTTCAATTGCACCAGAATACCTGTCCGTTCGAGGACGTTTCCGAGAGACAGAGCGGGAGCCCCGCCCCCGTGACCGGCCCCGGGAGATGGTTGTGGACGTCAGAGGCAAAGAGCCTGCATCTGGCTCGCTAGTTCCACCGCCCTGCGAATTAACCTCAGCGACGGTAAAGCCTTCGCCATCGCTATCCAATTGAGACGTCTCATAAGCTGCTAAAGCAAAAGCCTGAGAGCGAGGCTCAATTGGCTTTGGAGCCCGCTTCTGTGAGTATACTAGAAGCAGGCTCTCACGATCTGCCTGTGAAGCAGAACTCTCTGCTTGTTGTCCTGCCGCCCGGTCTTTGCGGTCTTGGGCGACTCTATTCTCTTCATCTAAGACCGCAATCCAGGCGTCCTCTTGGACAGAAGCTTCAGACTCTGGGCCCTCCGTAGTCCCAGTTTTCTCCTCTTTAAGGGCTTGTCGCCGGCGATCGATCCGGAGTTTGACAATTCGGTGGACATTGCTGTGTGTTTTGCCGGTCTCCTTTTCGAAGGCTGCTGTAATAGCTTTCCAAAATGAAACACCGTCACCAGAACGCCAGGCTAATGCGTTCTGGTTACAGAGTCGGATGAGCAGCAGTTGTTCCTCATCCGACAGTCAAGTTCGAGTTGTAGGATTCGAGGGCTTAGGCAAGCCCTTTGTGGCTGTGGGTTTCAGAGGGCTGGGAGGATCCGAAATAAGAGTAATGGTCGCTGGGGTCGCTGGGGTCGCTGGGGTCGGTGAGGGCTCTGGGAAGGAGTCTGGTATGGGGGTTGGGGCAGGATCTGCCTTTCGAAGTCCCTGGTTGGCCTCCTTCGCTCGCTTTGAGAGGTTTCGAGTGCGCTTTGGATAGGAGGGACCAGCCATAGGCGGTACCCAAGAGAGCTGTTGCCGTCTTGTAGTCATTTAATATAGTTTATATACAAAGATCACGATTACAGACTGCCCAGTTTCAGAGCTTCATTTTATTACTAATCTATCCACTAATCCCTAATAGGCAATGAGTAGGATGTCAAGCCTTGTATTTATCAGCTAACTATTATAGGGCATGAATTTAGGTCAAGTACGCTGGCTAAATCTCTCTAATGTTCATCCTCTTCATCAGAGTTGTATGATTCGTCATCTGTGGGTGGTGGTGCTGATATCGGCAAGTCACCGAGGAGTTTGAGGACATCGTCATGGCGATAGAAAACAGCGAGGTCTAGAGCAGTATCATCTGACATGTTTGCTTAGTTGGAAGTTTGGTGGTCTATGTTTCTGAGGAGATTGATTAAGCCTGACGGTCCTTACATACGGTACATTGGTCACCTTTAAGGCTCCGAAAGTTAGAGGAGTCGTTCTCGTCATTGAAGGATAACCTATTATCAGACGTCATCACATGAAGCAATGTCAGCTTTGGTAACCTCTACGCCGTTGTGGTAGTTTCCGCATCTATCTCCACATAGCAAACTGGCTCCGAGCTCGTGCTCCTCAATGTCTGCTCCCTGACTGTAGACAGAAAAGTTTCTGGTAAGAGGTCGATTTGTTGCACCCCGGCTACGGCTGCAAGCACCCCACTCAACAAACGTGGCGTACGCTCGGGAGAGAAATAATTGGCTTCCTGTGGTCTTTCGGTCCTAGGTTCACAGGTGCATTCTCGATCCCTGCAGCTTACCCAGTGTTTCCATTCTCGCTTGGAGTCTTCCCGCTCCCAAGCCGCATATGCTTTGCTCCAATGCTATACTCTTTGATGTCAAAGATGCAGCCACTATAGGTGAACCAGTCTTCAACCATCGGGTGGAAGCGTGTCGTCTTTGAGACCAGCGGTCCCTGCGTGTTGCATATAGTTGTTCCTCCCTCCATCACAATATGCTTAGGTTCGAGGAGGCTCTGGGGACTGAGGATGTGTTCAAGACAATTTATATGGTAAAATCGATTCGGCTCTTATGTCTGGTTAAGTTCTGCTTCCTGAGAAGTGACTTCAGTGCGACTTACGAAGATGGTGGGTTAAATCGCCGGCCCGTGTCCCTGTCAAATCCTTGAGGTTGAAACGATAATCGGACTCGATATTTATGATGCCAGTCAGCTTCTGTCGAAGACATAGCAGAGCCCGGCAATGACTCCGCCTGCTCGGTGTGCTCTCCAGTACCAGAATGGAGGATCCTGACCGAAGCTTTTGCTCAATATCGCTCTTATCCGTAGCGACTGGGTCGGAAGGCTTAGCATTTAACTCTTTCACCATAGCCTTGTACCACTCCGGAGACCTCGAACTCCCAACTTTGTTTAGCCTCTGCCTTTTCCTTTTGTTTAATGCTTCCACCAGGGTTTCAACGATTTCTGCTGCCTTCTTCGGGCTCATTCTTTGGTCCCTCTCCGGCCTGTTCCTTGTACTATGAAGTAGGCGACTGGTCGGCGCTCTCATCGGCAAGGCATCGCTTGCGGCGCTGGTTAGATGCTTCATCCGCCATAGCAAGTGTCGAAGGTCGTGCGAACGACAGCTGAGAGCCGTTGAGATGAGGAGGACGAGAGTTGCCCTTACTAGGTAATAACAGAAGCGCCCCACTTTTCATGGCATAGGGACCACCTAGAGGGATGGTCCATCGGCTGGTCCCGATTATCCCTCACAGAGGTCCACTGGATGGTTACCCCTTACCAGATGTCCACTGAATCTTCTCCGATAGACCCTTACTCTTTCAAGGTTCAGGTCGGTTATAAAATCATGCTTCCCGACAAAACCGAAGTGTGGACACGGCAAACCTGCCACGCCACCAAGGAGAAGAAGGTAAAATCTATAGTATAAAAAGACAAAAAACATACAACAGTGGGTATTCGCTGGTGGTCACCCACCCAACTACTAATCCACCGATCTCAAGTTTATGTATGGCAGAGCGGACGGGATGCCCAGTTCTCTCGAGTCTATGGTCGTATGTGATAATTACTTGCTTATTGTGAGATATATGCTATGTAAACCCTACTCAGCCATGGCACTCCAGCAGCTTTAGGAGATAAGATAGCCTGCCTCGCATGCAGACTTTGCGTCTATGTATAATATACCTTGGCTATCGCCATTGACCATTGCCAAGGTTGGCTCCAGCCAGACACCAGATCTTGCTAACGCAGATTCGTTACTCCACCCCCCCTGTTTCACCTCCCCCCTATGATATTCAAACCCCTACGTCCCGACTCACTCAATTGGATTGCGCCGCCGTCAGGGCCTGTCGCACCAGCAATGCTGTCGAACCCAGTCCACGGGAAGCATAGCCCCCTTCTTTTCTCCCAGCCGACCCGGTACTGGTCCCCGACCTCGTCCTCGCGCCCTTTACAATGAGCATGCCCAAGGCGGTGCAGAGATAGGCAGGCTGTGCGTATAGCACGCACGAGTCTCTCTTTGCTCACGTCCTTTTCAACCCCCCCCCCCCCTTCCCCCTCCCCTTCCCCCTTTTTAACTCACCATCACCAGCACCTCCTTTTAACCCCCCTCCCATGCATTCATCACCTCCCAACACTGTCTCATCCACAAGCCCCCTACCGTCCCCCAAACAGCCCGATTAACCTCCTTCCAACCCTCGTCTCGACCTCCGTCCCATCCCTCGCAATCTTCACCTCCTTCCCCGCATTCCACGCATTCTTCAACCCTCTCGTCCTAAAAAACGGGACGCGCCTCGTCGACTCCCACTCCACGCTGAAGGGTCTACCTCATACGGCTCCTGCTGCACCAGCCAGTGGGGGAAAGGGGAAGTCCTCATCGCTATTGCTACCCACGCCCAAATTCTCGCTGCTGTTACCACAAGTATCCCCACTGCTTTTTCCACTGCTATTACCCCCGCTACCGGTGGCCCCCCCCGAATCCTCATCCGCAGCTCCAGTCACCGGATCTGCCTCCCAGAAGATCGTCCCGCGCGCTGAGTCATCAATAATGCGGCCTCTCGGCGCCGTCGTTGTCGCTGGCACAGGCACTAAATCTAAGGTTATGGCGGACGCCGTGTTGGTGCTGGTGATGGGAGCAGGCGCAAAGGCGATTGTAGCTGCGAAATCTTGGTTTATGGGGGAGGCCATGACGGCGTAGCCGTAGTATTCGCCGGATTTGTTGGCGGAGAAGATGAGGTAGACCGTTTCTGCTGTCTGTGGGGGATTAGCTTGGGGTCTGGATTTGGGCGGAGTTGGTTGGGTGTGGGATGAAGGGGCTGGTGTGGCAATGGGGAACAAGGGACTGGCAAGGGGATGGAAAAGAGCAAAAACTGAAGAACGGAGGAGAGAGAAACGAACTTTATATGCTTTATCCAGGGCAGCTTCATTATGCGACTGCGTCGTCCACACCCCTTTCCTCACGCTCATTTCCAAATGAAATACTTATCCTTAGCTGGCGTTTCCTCTTCTGGGGTCGTCACACTCTTCCCGCTCTCTTCCCCATCCACCTTCTCCTCCCCCTCCACTTTCCCCCCTTCTATCTTCCCACCACTCAAAGCTGCTGGTCCCGTCGGGGTCTCCCCAACCACACCCACCACACTCCTCCTCAAGCTACACACCACCCTCACCCCCCCCAATCTCGGAAACCTCCGCACAGCACTCGCACACGCCTCCTCAGTCCTATAATGCACAAACGCGCAGCTGCTCTTCGCAATCAAAAACACGCTCAAAATTTTCTCGCGCGCACCCTGCGCGAAATTCTCTTTTAGGTTGAGCACCGATACAGCGTGGGGGGAGATTGCCGACCCACAGCGCATGGCCCGATTGCGCGGGTTTTCGTGGGGGGCCGCGGATGCTGGAGGTGGAGCCTGGGGGGTGTTAGTCTCTTGCTCTGCAGGCCGAAAATGGCAGAAGAACGGGGAAGAGGGGGAGGAGGGAAATCTCACCAGCGCTACTACCCCTCCCAACATCCGACTCACCAACACTCAACTGCTCACTCGGCCGCCGGCTCGATTGCACCGAGCCTCCCCCATGTTGCGGCGCGAACTGCCCCCGAAACATCGCCGTCTGCCCCGCAAACAGTGGCGCCTGCTGGTGGTAGAAAAACGGCGACACCTGCTGCTGCTGCGGCGCGAAGACCCCCGCATAGCCCTGTTGGGGCATCCCCGTGCCGCTGGGGAGCGTCTGCATATGCGCCCCCGGAGCTGGTACGTACATCCCTTGTAACTGCTGCGCGAACTGTGGGGCATACTGTTGGTTGGGCGGCTGTTGAGTCCTCAGGGGGGTCGGCGCAAACTGCTGCTGCTGTTGCTGGAGCTGGTTTGCGAGGGTGGCGGCAGGGGGAATCTGGTATCGTTGCTGCTGCTGGGCCGAGAGCTGCGCGTAGGCCTGGCTCTGGGCTTGGCTCTGGCTCTGGCTGTAGTTGTGGTCTGGGAGTGCGGCGGCGAGGGCGGACATGTTAAGTGTGGCTTTCCGGGCCCGGGAGGGATTAAGGACGTCAGTCTATGCTGCTGCGTTTGGGAAGGGTAGGAAATCATGCTTTGGTTGTCCGTGTAGTAGCCCTGCTGAGGCCGCTGGGAGTTGGAGTCCTGAGTCGGGCGGAAGCCATACTGGTCTCTCATACGCTCAAGAAGGTCAGACATTCCTGCTTCTTTGCGTTTGAAAGTCGTTTTGGGAGCGGGTTCTTGGTGTACAGTCCTGTCTCTCTCTATCGTCACTCACTCACGCACTTCCGTCGCGGAGTGTGGTGGTGCTGGTGAAGTGTGAGGGTGCGGAAACGGGAAGGGGAATGGCATGCGTCTCACTTCGTCGGGCCTATTTATTCTAGACCATGGCTCGGGACGCTGCGAGGGTTGGCGTATATGGAGGGGAAGAATGGGGTGCGTGGGCGCGCGTACGGGGAGGTCCAAGATGTGAAAGCGGGCAAGAAGGAAGAGGATGGGGGTAGTTTCAAGGAAGTGAATTTGATGTAGGTGTGGCGAATGTCAGTGTGCGGCACAGATACCTGATTACCTGTGGTGTTCAGGTAATTACCTGGGTAATTACCTACCTGGGCTCATTCTCAAAATACCTGAGTATCCCGGTATTTTCAGATACTTACCCAGATACATGCCAAGTATTGCCAAGTGTAGCCAAGCCGCACAAATGCTAACGTTGAAATACTCGTCTTCATGCTTGATATGGTGATAATTGCCGTGAAAATGAGTGACTCTCCGTCGTCAGACGTGCCGACGGACCTTGATGGCTATAATCCTCACGATGAGCCAGCCCTACCAGGGCTTTTTACCCCTTTTCAGCAATCAAATCCAATTCCTGTCCGTCTACACCCGCCTAGCCAAATGCTACCGCCAACGCAGTCGCTGCTGTTCACGAAGGAACTATATTCAAGAATACTACTTGAGAGCAACCCGCCAACTATCAAAGTATGCTGTATGCAGCCTAATTGCGGATACTCGCCCGCAGCTCAAACCCATGCTCAAGCTGCTGCTTCAACTGGCAATCTTTGGAAACACTATAGTCTTAAGCATAAAGGAATCTATGATGCTCTTAAACACAAGAATACAGCGCCTTCAAGTCAATCTAGCAGCACATCATCATTTTTTGAGCCTCGGAGACCAGCGACCCATGAATCAAGACCAACAAACAATCCAGCCAAATATAGAGAGTTAGTGCTATCGTTTATAGTATCTAATAACCTGTCTTTACGCATTATCGAAAGCTATTCATATCGTCAATTAGTACGGTTCTTAAGTCCATCTGTGTTATCACTTTCGTCAAGAACATTGCACCGAGAACTACAACGCCAATTCTCATATCACCGAGGCATACTACAGCTTGAACTCCATTCTCATATTATACATGGAGGCCGGATATCCATAACGACAGATGCATGGTCTGCATGGAACTATACAGAGTATGCTGCTGTTACCGCTCATTGGATTAATGATAAATGGCAGCAGAAATCAAAATTGCTTGATGTGATACATCTTCAAGAGCCTATTCATAGCGGTGAATACTTAGCTCAGCAATTAGCAGCTGTAACAGATAGTATAGCTATTACAGGCGCTATCTTTACATGCACCCGAGACAACGCATCATCAAATACTGTGATGCTCTCAGAATATGAGAAATTGGCTAGCAACGCCCAAACATCAACTCAACAACCTTGGACATTTACTGTCAAAGAAGGCGATGTCCGGTGTATTGCACATATCATAAATCTCGCAGTTCAAGCCGCTCTTACGAGTTTAAAAGCAGAACCAGATGTAGAGACAGAGACATACCGGTGTGAGCAAGGTGCAGCTCGGATTCCATTTAGTAGAGATAGTCATGTGGAAGTCATGAATGCTCTTGCAAAGCTACGAAGACATATCTATGTCTTTCGTAATCGACGAGCATGGAAGGATGCTTTACAACGACAAGTCAAAGCTATAGGTTTAAAACCACAGCAACTATCACTTGATATGCCAGTACGATGGAATTCAACACATCGTATGCTTGATACAGCATTAAAACTCCAAATACCAATCACAGCAGTATGCATAACACAACAGCTTGATATTAGTATGAAAGATATTGCATTAACTACAGGAGATTGGGCTGTTATTAAAGATCTTGAACGACTGTTCTTAATATTTCTCAAACCATCAAGACGGCTACAAAGTGATACATATCCGTCACTTAACTTTGCTATTCCACTTTATCTTAAAATGATAAATAAAGTTAAGAAGATGCAACAAGAAGTTGGCGAGCACTCAGCAATTGGTATTGCATGCACAGTAGCTTATCAAAAGCTTCACGCGTATTATACTCTTGCAACAAATCAGCAATGTAAGCACTCAGCTGTAGCTACAATTTGCGATCCACGGATGAACCATACAGTGTTTAAAAAGATATATCCAGATAGTACAGATCATGTACGAATCACACGGGCAAGAGCACAGTTTGAAGATGTTTGTAGAACATATAAGACACGGCAATATCATCTTGATACAGAGCGTATTGAACGTGAAACAGCTCTTGCAGATGCATTAGGAAATGCAAATACTAGAGTGCAAGAACCAGATTCTGATGAAGATTTATTTGCATCAGAGGGTATATCATTTGAAGAACCAGAATGGAAACGATGGATGCTTGACACGGCCTGGTGAGCATACTGATATTCTCAAATATTGGTCTGCAAAGCAATATCAATATCCAATAATTGCTCAAGTTGCTCGAGACCATCTTGCAATTCCTGCGACATCAGCACCATCAGAACGGGTATTTAGCAATGGTAGCGATATCATTACTAAGAAAAGGAATAGATTGTCGCCATCGACAATTAGATATCTGCTTTGCTTACGGAATTGGGGTTATTTACCAGATGCCGACAGCGACGGTGATGATGCAGATGATGAGGCAGAAGAATAGGAATAGGGGCTGTCTATTTTATTATTATATTTGTCACGAGTTTCACTTTTCTAGTTACATATTCTAGTTACATATCATTATCTATTTCAAATATCAAAAGCGTCATTTTTGTATACGGAATTGAGGCTCAACTACCTGCTAAAGTATCTGTAAATACCTACCTTACCTGAGCAAAGCCGCTCAGATACTTACCTTACCTGGCGAGGACCCAGATACTACCTGGGTAGTATCTGCCGAACACTGGCGAATGTGGCAGGTCTGCGAGATAGCATCAAAAAGAGACAAGAGGTAAGTGACAGGTGACAGGTGACAGCATGATAGTTCACGTGATACGCGAACCAAAGCGTGGACATGGCAAAATCTATTGTATAAAAAGACAAAAAACATACAACAGTGGGTATTCGCTGGTGGTCACCCACCCAACTACTAATCCACCGATCTCAAGTTTATGTATGGCAGAGCGGACGGGATGCCCAGTTCTCTTGAGTCTATGGTCGTATGTGCTAATTATTTGTGTATTCGTCTTGAGTACCCATGAACAGCCTCTGGTTTTAATCTCTCGACTTGCACATTAACGTCAACCGCCTCGCCCATCTCGCCCGGCTTCAATGAGGCCCATTACCTTTCTGCATGCTTAGGCGCTCCATGAGTAACTCAGTTTAGGTCTTTGTGGTTTGTAGCTGGTCAATCCTGCCATCGCATACTAGACATGTGGTCAAATCCGTATGGCCTCACCAGATGGTCCCCGGATGGTCTTGAATGATCCCCCATCAGATGTCCACTGAGTGTTTGCAGAATCCGTCTTCTCCCAACTTATACTTGCAATCTATCATCGTTCCAGCGCACCTTACTCCGCAGGAAGATACCCATGCGAAGCATAGTCTTAAACTCGTAGGAGAACTCGCGTAGGAGAAGCAATAGGCAAGGCAGAGAGAAGGAAGTGAGGGTAGACGGGAGAAATAGGAGCACCCCGGAAACAGAAGGGAGAGAAGGGAAGTGGGCAATAGAGGTGCGCGGGATGAGGTTTAGCTGAATAAAGCAAGTGAGCTGTATGGATGTTCTTCTGAGCTACTACAGTCAAACCTCGCCAAGACGATCCTCTTTTAGCCGATAACCTCTTATTATCGACAACATTGGCTTCGGTTTATAATCGACACTATCGATTCAAATCAAGATCCACAGAAACTTATGAATCTTCGACTCGCTCTTCGCTGGATTATTCGTGCTTGGAATACAGAAGTTTCAAACACTACGATATACAACTGCTTCCGGAAATCTACACTTGTTTCAAATCCAATTAGCCTTCCAACAATAACGATGCCTACTGGAATACAAGAACTCTACAACCAAGCAATAACTACAGCATCAATTACAGACTCAATGGCTATTTCAAACTTTCTAAACCCTGTGGAAGAGGCTAGAGCGGTGGAAGGACAGACTACCGATGAAGAACTACTTGAGGAGATAATAGAGGGGCAACTTGGGCATCAGAACTCTCAAAATGATGACGAAGAGGAGGAGCAGCCTGAGCAGCCTGCGCCTACGGCAAAGGAGGCCCAGGATGCCCTCCAGATACTGATTGAGTATTCTGAAGGCCAGGATGCTCTTACTACGGGGCATATACGGGCACTAGAGCAGCTGCAAACAGCCATTGAGGCTATTCGAGCACAGTCACAGCAGCAGGTTACGTTAGATAGGTGGCTTACATAATATTACTCTATATAACGATATAACGTACTTCATAAGTAAGCTGCGCATACAAGTAAGCTGCGCACACCCCACCAAAATCACGAAATCTACCCTATTCAACCAGTCATGCCTCAACCAAATAGTGCCCAATTGGCCTCCAAAGAGGGCCGAATAGCTCTTGCGATTAATTCATATAAATCAGGCTATTTTACAAGCATTCGTGGTGCTGCAGACGCGTACGACGTACCTGAATCGACATTACGGACGCGCTTGAAGGGCACGCGTCCGCATAATGAAATACGGTCTACAAACCTCAAACTTACGGATACGGAAGAATTAACGCTTGTTAATTGGATCTTATCTATGGATGAGCGAGGCTTACCAGTTCGTACGGCTTCAATTCGAGATATGGCTAACTTATTACTTCAAAAACGGACCGGTACGGACGCGTCTCCTCCGCAACAAGTTGGCGTCCAATGGCCATATAACTTCGTACGACGCCATGACTCTTTACGGGCTTGTTATAATCGCAAATATGATTACAAGCGTGCCTTATGTGAAGACCCGACTATTATTCGAGACTGGTTCCGACTTGTACGAAATACAGTTGCAAAATATGGAATCCGGGACGTGGATATCTATAACTTTGATGAGACGGGCTTTCAAATGGGTGTGATTTCGACCGCAAAAGTCATTACGGCCTCTGATCGTACGTCACGGCCCGTAACAGTCCAACCTGGGAACCGCGAATGGACTACGGCTATTGAGTGTATTAATGCGGACGGTTGGTCGCTTCCTCCAATGATTATACTTAAAGGCAAACTCCATATCTCTACCTGGTATATAAACGCTTTACCGTCTAATTGGGAAATTGCGGTTAGTGATAACGGCTGGACTACGGACCAATTAGGCCTTATTTGGCTTACAGACGTCTTCGAAAAACATACAAAGGATCGTACGGAAGGAGTATATCGACTTCTTATTCTTGACGGACATGGAAGTCATATTACGGCTGAATTTGACTTGTTTTGCAAGGACCGTAATATCATTACTCTTTGTATGCCTCCGCATTCCTCACATTTACTTCAACCTCTTGATGTGAGCTGTTTTGCGGTCCTAAAACGGTCATACGGGCGACAAATTGAAGATCTTATGCGGGCTGGAGTTAATCATATTGATAAGTCTGATTTCCTTCAAGCTTATTTTACGGCCCGTACGGAAGCTTTAACCTCACGTACAATCCGTAGCGGGTTCGTAGCTGCTGGATTGGTCCCGTACGACCCAGAACGTGTTCTCTCAAAGCTTAATACTCAATTACGGACGCCTACCCCTCCTCCTCCTCCTACGACCGAACAAGCGCCTTGGGTCCCAGAGACGCCACACAATATACAAGAGCTAGAATCTCAAGCTAAGGCAATTGGAGACTTTGTACAACGCCGTACGGCCGGGTCTTCAAGTCCTACAGATCGTGCAGTTCGGCAGTTAGTTAAGGGCTGTCAAATGGCTATGCATTCTGCAGTCCTCCTTGCGGATGAAAACAAGAAGCTACGGGCCGCGAACGAACGCCAGAAGAAGAAGAGAGCTGTACGGAGGTCGTATATTGCTACGGGAGGTGTTTTGACAGTCCAGGAGGGCTTGGATCGATCCGTAGCTGCAAATATAGAGCGTACGGGTCAGTCTACAGGTGGGGCTCAAAAGCGACAAATCCGCGCACCACGGATGTGTAGTATTTGCAGATCACTTGAACACACGGCCCGTACGTGCCCAGATAGGGTTAATTCGAATTAGATTGGTTTAATAATAGTAATCTTAATTTGTTGTTGAATTATTAGTTCCTAAAGCCATGATTTTGGTGGGCTGTGCGCAGCTTACTTGTATGCGCAGCTTACTTATGAAGTACGTTATACGATAAGACGATGGAAATGCTTGCTACGGATGCCATCGTCTTAACAAGGGTTTGACTGTATACTCCACCTGCCATAGTGTACAAAACTATGTGGTGACTAAGTTTAGCAGGGTACAACAAGTTATATGTGAGTTGCAGGCCCGTGGTCTCCCCCGGAGCAATGTGCTCCGCGGTAGGCTCTCCGAGGTGCCATTGTCTCCTCAGAGAACTCTCCCCCGGGCTATGTGCACTTAGGCGCAGGCACGCGCAGGAGACCTCCCCAAGGAGACCATGTCTCCTTGGGCACCTCTCCGCTGAGCGTTCTCCTTGCAATTACCATCTCCGAGGCGTGATGTGCTCCCAGGCACCATTTCCTACTATCGATGGGGTTCTAGGCCAGTTCATGAGCCATAATAGACTCGGTAGAGTTTCATACAGGCAATTTGTTTTTTTGCAACATGCATTCAGCGTCACTCCTGCTACAAGTATAGAATTTCCATTCTCTCGAGGTTTTTATTTCTGCCTAAATGCGTAGTGCCCTGACTTATTACTCCGGCTGGTATTCAAGTTCTATCAAGCTGACTCCGACCTGGAGATACTTACGTACGATCATCCGCAATTCATCCCGGATTTTGTCCGAACCAGATACTTTCATTCGATTAGCGCCATAGGGATACAGACGGATGAGGCTTACCTGTAACGAGCATCTTCTCGTGTCTCGCCGCCTCCTCCGAGTCCGCAGACTCTAGATCTCTGTCCGGTCTGGGGGCTTCCGGCTCCCATTTTCCCAACGCCTTACTATTATCGGCGCATTCTATCCGTGGTCTCTTTATGTACTTCCCCGAGACCTCTGCTAGAAATATCTCGAGCAACGGCGCGGATCCCGGATACGCAGTAGCACGGTTACCAAATGGAAACTTCGGAGAATCGCTGTATTCGAGGTAGACTGAGACCTCGAGAATCTAGCCCAGGTATTCATTAGCGAGACAATTCGAGGATATCAAGCGACCTAGGGACGTACTTGTCCTCGTCCAATACGCTGTTCAGCATTGACTGAGCTGCGAGGCCGTCGGCTGGCTTCGTCAGCTTTTGTGCGAAGCCCGGATTGGAACCTTACCTTTATCCCGGATCTGCCAGACGAGATGGATCCGGCGAGCTCGGACTATGCGAGCATTATAGCCATAGATCAGTCTTTTCAGGTGGGGTAAGTGGGCGGCGATACCAAAGCCGGTAGCTACCATCAGAATACTCTCGTACTCGTCCATGGCAACACGTGGCCCATGGGGGCCATTAAACATGATGATTGGGTTAATAGTGTGGCCCTTTGAGGCTCAATGAGGAGATCGAGGGTATGCTGCTCCTTGGGCTCCCAAGAGATCACCATGAACGGGTGGCTCTGCAGGAAAGACCAGAAGCTGACAGAAGGTATCCACAGGTTAACATACTGTCCATCATCGACCTTTAGCGGCTTCTGAAGGTGAAGGCGGATCTTGATCGCACCCGAATCATGGGTGATGGTGGCCCGTGAGAGGTGGTGTCAGAAGATGCCGTTGCGAAATATGACGTTGCTACTTTGTAGAAGGAACATAGACAGTAATAAACCTGCGGAGACATATATATAAAGGCGAGGGAAGAGCTTTTCGGAGGGCAAATGCCGCCACACTGCATAGGCAGAAGCCACTGCGAGCGCCTGGTGTGTCCGGAGGAAGAGTTCGTAGGAGAGTTTACGAAAAAGAGGGCACACGAGCAGTACGAGAAGGCAAAGCAGCGATCCTCCCTATGCAGTTTTTAGTTAACGGTCTAGGGATGAGAGAAGGGATACATACTATAACCGCAAACAAATTCCGGGGTTCGTTTAAAGGGATGGGGACGTTGGACGCCGCAATCACGAGAACATGAAGGAGGCCTAACGAGAAAGCCATAAAACCTGTGGAGCGATGAACAACACGGACGGCCCTGAGAGATATCCCAAGCCGGTCTGCAAAGAAGGCGAGATGCGCTCCGGCGAAGAGGGGAACCATGTTGACCACCGCGAGTGACCCGGCTCGGAGGCCAGCGTCCGAAATCGTAGAAGCTCTGAAGCTGACGCAAAATAGATTCACTGCAGTGTAGATCAGCTGTATGAGAACACCAGCTCGACTCCGCTGGTCTATCCAACTTGATAGCGCAAGGGGTCGCGATATTCAAAGCTTCTAGATGATCGGCGTAGTACGTACTCTTGGAGTGTGCCATCCAAACCATCTGTGATGGATAAATGGGTGGCCCGCGCGGCCATCAGGGACCAGGGCCCACAACTTTTAGATGAAGTACAGTATTCTGTCCTCGTCGCTCACTCAATAATCTTCCACCCATTGAACCTCCCTCCACCCATTGAACCTCCACCCATTGAACCTCCACCCATTGAACCTCCACCCATTGAACCTCCACCCATTGAACCTCCACCCATTGAACCTCCACCCATTGAACCTCCACCCATTGAACCTCCACCCATTGATTCTCCACCCCATCGGTTACGATTTTTGGCCATTAGCCACCGCGAACATGTCATTCCGTCGTTGGCAGTCTCTTCTTCACATTTGAACAGGCAGATTTCGACAAATGCAAGACAGCAGTCTTAAAATTTAATAAGATGACCTGTCCTGATTCAGGCGAGGACTCAGAGCCTGACTTATGAACGACACCAGATATGAAATGAAGTCGCTTATACAACCTCTGCACTATCTAGAGCCAACCATAGCAACATCATGGGGTGAGGGCCTCATCCCGTCTTCTTAACGCCGTGGCAATATTCGTACCTGCGCACCCCTACTCTCTACTTCCCACTTGCTCTGGATCTTCTGGATTGCGTTTCCGTTGACATTTCGTGTCGGCGTCATGTGGCAACATATTTATAGGGATTGGGAAAGAATCCATCTTGCCACCATTTAGTAAAATGTCATCGAAGTCAGAAGAGAACCTACGATTTCTTTCTTGGATGGTGGAAAACATGGGTTGCCAGGAGATACGTAAGTATAATAACGCCCCTTCTGATAGATGATCAAGGAAACATCTGCACCGTATAATACTGCGTACTCATATGCTTGTTGGTCAAAGTGCTTCTCCTTCTAGATGAATTCTGGCTTTGACGTTTCTGTACGTTGCTCATGTTGCGCTTTGAGAGTTATAACTAGAAATAGAGAGTCGTAGACTGTCGCTGGCATTTCATGGCAAGCTACGACTATTTGAAAATGTCAAAGAGATCTAATTCCTCTAGAGACGGTAATTTTTGGCGTCTCGAGCTTGGTATCCACCTCCAGATGAGGGTCCGCGTATCCACTGATCCACCAGATATATGCCACCTGCACCACCCGATGGACCCTCCTCTCACCACCCGCCACCGACCTATCTTTGGTGACGAAGGAGGAGATACTGCAGCTGCTCCCTAGGTTGTGTACGAGATCATTGTTGCGACTGTTGCAGAATTATTGGTGGAGGTCGTTGATTTCGCTCGTCGACTTCACAGATGGAGTGTTGCAGAGCAACATATGTTGAGACAGGAGATTCTTCGATGTTCTGGTTCGCCATCCAGGTCTGGCTTCCGTTCAACAGCAAATAAACAACTGCTGCCGTGTATCTCATCTTCCAAACTCTTTCTCAGTTAATCAAAACATTATGCGCAATGCACATGACGCTATTGTCGCCAGTCACTACTGTCGTCACCCTTCTCTCCAACCCGACAAATAAGCCGTTAAACACACCATCTGTCCTTTTGCTATACAGTTCCCCATCATCACCAAGCAAGACTGACTCATCTAGGCCTTCAGTCCGTTCAATCTCCCCATCATCAAGCCATACTACGCCCTCATCCCGAAACAACCCATATCCGAAGTTGGAGAGTCCATGTTCCAAATTTGCAGTCTGCAGCATGAAATCGGAAACTGGTTTTATTACCATATACTTCGAATACTCGATCTTCTTTATATTTGTAATAGATGAACTTGTATGAATTTTCAAATTCGGAAAGTAACCGGTGTGATCGTCTATGCATGTGCTGGCATCCACTGTTTGACACAATAGTGGTTGTGCGACCCATGGAGAGTCTTGAGCAGCTGTAACATCCCCAATGGATAGAGAGATTGCCATGAAGTCAGGTCGAGGTGCTATAATGATATCATTGCTATCCACACACCCGACCTGAGCAACACCTTTGGGACAAGAGTCGAAATCCATTTGATATATGCATATCCTGACGCAATACACTCCTTCTTCATGGTTTGTCAGCCCAGAGAAATGAAAGGTTCCGCCAATGGGAGATTGAATGAGTTCTCCCCCGAGCTGATGTGTAACATCTGTGCCATTTCTAAGCAGCGTCGCGATAGCCCAGACGTTTAGCATGTCCTCGGGCTGTAACAGCTGTGCCACGATGGGGGGAAACAGTTCTATTTTCTGCCGAGTGAGTTCTGGCGGTTGTATTAATATGGCGAGCATTTGAGGGGGCGGCAGGCTCGTGCTCCATGGACCCATCATCGTTGATAAGTCGAATGACTCAGCAGCATCTGGCTGCTGAGGCGCAACATCATTTATAACAGCCCATTGTTCAGTTTGTGTTGGCGTTAATGCGTTATTTTCGACAGGATCATTGCTAGGGTCGCATTCAATTTGGTATCCCTCAGGCAGGAATGTACTAAGACCTCGTACGAGGCTCGGATGTCCAGCAAACAATTCCGATGTACTCTTGATGACACTAGAAATGTCAATTCTGGTTTAGACATTATTTTAGTATGAAAATGCGAATATAATGAAGTCGGCATGATCGACCAGAAGACTCACACTTGAACCCTGTAATCCTTCATGTTATAAAGGAATGTATTAAGATATCCGGCTGATCGACAAATTGGGCTTTAACTTGCTCAATATAGCTACGAGCTTCCTGGATAATTATTGTTAGTGATATATTAATTTTCCTGTCTACTGCCAGAAAATGGCATGGACTTTGCACAAGAACATTCTTCGGGACTATTTGGCCCTAGCAGAGGACTCAAATTCGATACTGGCTGAAAAGGATGATGCCATTCTCCAGTTACAGGAACTGATCTAGAGCAACGAGCAACAAATCACAGAGCAACAAACAATTCAGAAATATCTTGAAAAGCAAACCCAACAAGCTCTGAAGAATGAACCAGGACACCACTCTCACAGTCGACTGTCAGCTCGGATTCCAGACCCTCCAATCCTCACAGATGGGATAGAGCCAGCATTTGAAGACTGGGTTGTGAAAATTCTCCTCAAGCTCGAAGCCAACATTGATCATTTTCCAACACAGACTTTACAAATGAGCTACATTCAGAGTCGACTGGGAGGACTGGCAGTTTCGTGCCGAGGAAGGAAAGAGAAAGTTTGGCTTCAGTTGCAAGTTAATCCGTTGAAACGGTCAACAAACTTATCCATCTCTCTCACAGGAACATGGTGGCGGCTGGGTTTGATATCGCAAGGAAGGGACTTACTTCCCGTTGTTTCTGACTTGCACCCGGAGCTACATATGCTGGATGTGCAACACCACCAGGTGGATGCGACGGATTCATCTTCGTCCTTATGCCCAATTGCTCTGATAGCATGCCTGTTGACCCGCCAGTCTCATGTATTGGCGATGGGGCAACAGGCTCCGATAATTCCGTCGGCGTGTTCGGCGGGGTAGCTGGCATTTTAGGTGGATTGATGTGCTTGATGGGAGTAATTCGTTTCTTGTGGCAGTATGACCAGTGGCGCAGATGGCAATAGGGTCATTGCTACAGTCGCATACAATTCGGTCCCTAGGAGGCAAGTATAGATTAAATTCTTGTATAACGTTGGGATGCCCAGCAAATAATTTGGATATACGGCTGATGAGGCCAGGAAAGTCGATTCTAGGTAGCCATTATGTTAGTATAAAAGTGTGCTAATGATGTCGGTATTAGCTAGAAAACTCACACTTGACTCTTATAACACTTCAAGATGTAGATGAACGTATTATAGATATCCGGCTGATCGACGAATTGGGCTTTGACTTGTTCAAGATAGCTTTGGGCTTCCTGGGAAACTATTGTCAGCGATGCGTTGATTTTCGTCTCTATTGGAAGGCTCGTGCTGAGGAAGGAACGAGAATGACCGCTCGGCTTCAGTTCCAAGTTACTCCGTTGCAACGGTCGACAAACGTTCTCGGCCCTCGTCACAAGGGGCGCATAAGACCTGATTCTGCCTTGCAGAGCGCTCACACTAACACATGGCCACGTCCCACCACCATAGGGAAATGATGGTCTAGGGTTTGATATTGCAATGAAGGGGGAATTTACACTCAACGAAACTTTTCGTTCCTGACCTAACGCTGGAGCACCCTAATCTAAACATGCTGGATGTGCAACTCCGCCACCCATCTTCATTGTCGACGTGGCAACAGACTCTGATGATTCCTTCGGGGTATTCGGCGAAGGAGTTTGCAATTGAGGGGGCATCTCTGGATCCATGATCAACACAGATGACTTAGGTGGCTTGGTGTGCGTGATGGGAGATAATATGGAGTAGGTGATAGACAAGATAGAGCGGTAAGAAGCTTGAAGATAATTGACAAGCTGGAGACTGAAGAGGTTTGTGAACGTGTTTCTGCAATTGTGAACGTGTTTCTGCAAAATCGCGACCCTTATATATTCCTCAATTCTTCTGCCATCATGCTAATGCAAGGATCACCAGCAGCCCACCGTTGAAGCACCATGCATGGGCCGATTGAATGATCAAGAGCTTGTTAGTGCATCATGCAAACAACGCGGGGTGAAGCACATATCTGCAGGACAGTGTTGGGGAAGATGCTGGCGAGACCGATTCGCCATGCAGTAGTGGGGGAAGCAGCCCATTGATGTGAGACAGCGATAGCATCCGGCCGTGGATTTTGGATGCAGAGTTTATGAGACATGATTGTGCAGTTCTCCAAGAATGGAATGTCTTCCTTCGAGGCAGCAAGAGGCTCTTGATTGAAGCATGGCGTAATGATCCTTGAACCTGGCTGGATATCTTCGCCCCTTCATTATTATGGTAACCAGGGAATTGGTGACAAAAAGGGTTGGGAGGCGACACAATAGAAGACATGACGGGACGGGCCCACAGTTGCGATTGGCATTATTAGGGTAACCGTGGTGGACAAACAGGGTTGAACCTGTCAGATTGGGGAAAAGTTCCCGTAAACCAGGCGGGTACCTGGGGCATCCCCTAGTTTCCAGAGGCAAGCAACTGACTAAATGTTTAACTTCCAGAAGATCATGAACAGAGCAAGATATTTGTCTCACTCTGATATTCAGCCTTCGGATAATCTCCTTACCCGACTAGTCTAGTGGAGGCAACAAGGCATGGCGCCCAATGATGAAATGACACATGATCATACAAATGGGCTTACAAGGAAAGACCTTACATTTAAATGGACAAGCAAGGCAGAGGATGCTTTTCAGGAACTTAAGACGAAGTTCACAGAAGCACCTATCCTAGTCACATTTGACCCTGCAAAGAGAATTGTCCTCGAAACGGACTCCTCTGACTTCGCGATTGGAGCCTGTCTTAAGTCAGCCAGACAAAGACGAGAAGCTTAAGCCAGTTGCATATTACTCTAAAAAACTGTCACCCGCAGAGCTCAACTATGACATCCACGACAAGGAGCTGATGCTATTGTCGTTGCTTTTGAGCAATGGCAAGTATATCTTGAAGGATCGACCTACCCAGTACAGGTATGGACGGATCATAAGAATCTCATATACTTCACCACAACCAAGGTTTTAAACCGCAGGCAAGTCCAATGGGCAGAGACACTCGCAGCCTACAACTTCACGATTACATATCGCAAGGGCTCTGAGAACGCAAGAGCCGACGCTCTTAGCAGAAGGACCGACTACATAGGCCCTAAAGAGGAAAGACCTAGAGCCATATTGAAGAAGACAGATGCAGGAATGCAATACAATGAGTTACTAGCACGATTGCCACTATGGAGAACTTGGAGTTGGAAGAAAGACTCAAGAAAGCTTATGCAACAGACGAATGTGCAAAGCGAGTCTTAATAAAAACTGAAATGAGACGCCCGCTAGTGCAAGAACAACACTCACTACCAGCACACGGCCATCAGGGAGTAACACGCACCTTCGAACGAATCACCCGACACTACTACTTCCCAGGTATGAGGAAGCAGGTGGAAACAGTAGTAAGAGAGTGCGACATTTGCAGCAAATCAAAATCCAATAGGCACTTGCCATATGGACAGCTGAAATCGACTCCAGTACCAACAGGAGCGTGGAAATCTATAGCTTTGGACTTCATTGTCAAGCTACCACCCTCTCAGGACCCGTTAACAGGAGTAGTATTTGACGCTATCCTGGTTATTATGGAAAGTCCACGAAATATGGAATATTTGTGCCATATTTAGAAGCTAGCAATGCTGAAGCACTCGCATACACCTTCCTTTGAGTCATATTAGCCGATCACGGATTACCGGAAGAAATCATCTCAAACAGAGACGAGCTTTTTACTTCGAAATTTTGGAAATCTTTAATGGTGCTTTTGGGAACATATCATAAGCTATCAACAGCTTTCCATCCCCAAACAGACGGTCAAACAGAAAGACTGAATCAAACCCTTGAACAATACCTACGGAGTTATGTCAACCACCAACAAGACAATTGGGTTCAGATATTACCCATCGCACAGTTCGCATATAACAGCGCGATGACCGAAGCAACAAAAGTCTCACCGTTCTTTGCCAATTACGTCTATCAGCCAGAGGCATATAGACAATCATGATCGGATGAATCAAGAGCAGAACAAGCTATGATCGCCATGGAACAACTCAAATCATTCCATGAACAACTCGTGACAGACATCCAATTCTTAAATGAACGATCTGCCGTGTATGCAAACAAGAAGCGCAGTATGGAACCTGCCTTCAAGGAGGGGGATAAAGTATATCTACTCTGGAAACACATCAAAACGAAATGACCAAGTACGAAGTTGGACTTCAAGAAATTGGGACCATTCAAAATATTGAACAAAGTCAGCTCAGTTAATTACAGACTGCAGCTACCCAAGAAGTCTAGACTACACCCGGTATTTCATGTCTCACTATTGGAACCAGCAAGAGGAAACACCCCGATGGCGACTGATACAGAACTCCAACCAGAAAATGAGATCATTGAATATGAAGTCAAAGCGATCCTAGACAGAAGGTTAGTAGGACACAAAGAAGAGTTTTTGATCAAATGGAAAGGTTATGAACCTACTGTTACGGCTACAGTAACGTGACATCATGGTTACAGGCCAGGGCCTAGTAACGTGACGTGTGAGTCACAGGGGGCAAGCAGGGTAGGCTGCCATGCGGGGCTAATGGATAGTTGCAGAAACTAGTGGATATTGGATAGTTGAGCTATCCACGAACTATCCTGAATATCTAGCTATCCGCCAACTATCCAGATTACCCATGAGGCACGACGCCACTATATAAGTAGATAGTATTTCCTTAGATAGGAGCTTCGTGCTCAACTCAATATAGTATTCTTTACAATACTGTAACATGTTACTTGGAAATCCTTTGTGTCTAATCCCCTGCCTCTCTGTCAAGTCAACCTTACGCAAGAAACCTCTGTGTCTTCTATCGTTTAGAAGTCTGCATTACACTTACATAATCATCCACAAACGATACTCGTTTTGTAAGATGTAAAGCCTTTACTTTTCGAAAGTAGGGGAAGAGAAGAGGAATAAGAACCATCTCTCGATATAGAAACCAATCAATCCCACCCTTTGAAACTTTTTGCCCTTCTGATTGCCGTCCTCTACTCCATGTCTCTATATC